GCTAGCAAGGATTGACTTCGCGGAGCGCACGCTCTGCTTGTTACTGCTTGTTTTGGGCGCGACACACATGACAACATTTATTCGTCTACGCGCTCCCGCGAGTGATTGTAAATCGCAGGGAAAATTAGATGGTGTGTCGCTCAAGCAACTGGGCGAATCTTCATCCGCACCGAAAATTTTGATGCCTGCACGATCAAACGTTGTTTTCTGATCTTTTGCTGCGGGCTGTGCGAATATAGACTGGTAACCGTCCCTTACTATCAAAGCTTGTGTCAGTTGTATGAGAAGGACGGGCTACCAGTCTTAGTTGGCGCTAATAATCGGACGATTGTTATAATGCAGCGATTCAATTGAGCAGTATGCTAATCACCGTGACCGTGACTGTTGGTGCCATGGTGGAGGCACCGTCTGATGGCGGCAGTCTAGATCGCCGCTGTGGGTGTGTACCGCTGGCAAAGCAGCGATCAACCGTACCGCGAAAAATTCACATGATGATGTCCGCCTCATAGTTATCGCATGCGGGTGCGTAATACCTAGTCGACACGCGGCACGTGACGGAGGAATAAAATTGTACAGGCGTTTGCGTTCTATGGTGGCCGGTTTTATTTAAAAAAGAGCCAATTACGCGGCACTCGTTTGGAACAACGTGTCTGTCGGCGGGCCGGTTCGGCCCAACAACACGCCGCAGAAATGAAAGCCCGTGAGGCACGCGACTTCGTCTGTGGGACGGACTAAGACATTTCCACTGTGTGCGTGCGTGGCCGTAAAGCAGTACACTTCCGATGGGATGGTGTGTGCAGTGCGTGCGTGCGCACCACTGATAAGTGATAGTGTTGCCGCTGCTCGACGTCGACGTGCGCAGTTACGTGTGTGAGCGTCGCCCGTCGCACATGCGATGTACAGCGTGTGCAGGAATATGCCAGCTATATATACTATCAAATAGAGTACATATAATAGACAGCTGTGTTATAGATCTACTGATCATACTATATATCAAAGTGTACTAATATCATGCGTGATCCGTGCGCCTTGATTGTCGGTTGTACAAATCGTACGTATCCTTAAATTTGTATTGGGAGCTCCGCGCTTAGGCTCATGTATGAATTGCTATACTGAAGTCATGAAGCAAACGGCACGGCTTGCCAGCTGCTGACCGCATTGTCCGTCGCAAGGTGTGCGTATATAAGGAATAGCCTGGGGATCGAGTCCGGTGCCGGGTTGGCCCTCCTAATCTCTTACCAGTATCGGGCAGCTACAGACCGATAGTATCATGTAAGGACTCCAACCTAATTACATACATACTATATAATACGATTATTATCGAAGTATCTATACTATTACCCACAAACACTACCAAAATTCAACGTACACAACGAGCGGGCATAAAAGACTTAACAGATAACTCTGACATTAAAAGCCACAAAGAGAATGGGCCTGCTGCAGACTACAATTTTAAAACACACATGCGACCTTTGTCCGGGTGATAATTCTTTATTAGTCTTTCCCGCACACATCCGACTCAATAGTTTTTCGAATGTATAGTTAAATTGGAATTTGCATGGGCTCACACAGTACCTCTAAATTCCAGAATGAGAATGGCTTAGAGTGAGAGTCCTTTTTAAACTTATGTAAGCCATTTTTTTGTTCTTGAGGAAAAACTACCGATCGAATTTCATCCGTGGATAGAAATTCTACATGATTCTGAAAATCTTCTGAAAAGTAAACAGTTTCGATCGAGAGTGGATCAGGTATGTTGTAGTCCTTTGCTGTCACCACGTGTGGTAGTAACAGCTGCATTATATAGCTCCACCTGTTAGATTCACCGTAATTATTAAAGTATTAAATTCAAGTTTTTCCCATCTGGTAGATGGCGCCACCATACGCCTATTTAGGAGGAATACTCTAGTTACTAAGTTAGGTATGCATCTCAAAAAAGTGGAGTCTCTTTTTTCTAGTTCGAGTCGACCTATAATTTGTTATACCCGACTCCAAAAAATGAATGTGAAATTTACCTTAGTCATTCAACTAGGCTCATGCCCAATCACTTTTCCGATACAAACATCAGCCGTATAGACTCAAATGCGCGGCAAGGTTTGTGAGAATTTTCTGAGGATGCAACAAACCATGTACATGCTAGTAAATGTAGACCTTTCCCTGTTTTGGTGCATCTTACTCCTGGTAATGTCCTATTAAAAGGCATATGTGCTCACAAGATAGGGTAATTATGTAAATGTAGGATTGGACCTTTCAGGTTTCCCCATATAATCGTATCAGATCAGATTCATGTGCCCCGTTTTGATGTTGCATTAACATGTGTGATTTTAGCTATCAGTGTTGGATTATGAACGGCTGATAAGCTACAAGCACCAAAGGTTGGCTAGACTTGTCCTCTGCCTCCTTGTGCAGGGATACGTTTGGCAGGATGGCGACGCAGGTGTGCTACAGGTAAGCTACTTCGTCAACCATATACCAGGTGTGGGATTAAGTCAGAAGAGTTTAGCATTTTGTTTACACGGTGCTGGGGTCTGAAATGTGGTGGTAAACGTTACAGCACTTTATAGCTACTACTGTTATTTCTACACTTTCTGATTAAGCAACATGCTCAAACAGAAATACACTGTGCAGTATATGTAAGTTTAATAATGAAATTTTTGTTGTAATATTGCAGAGCATTCCAAAATGCCTTGCTGTTCCATTCCATAAGCTTTCAATGAAACTGGGTTGGCCAGCGATGATCACGCATGCAGATATGATGTCCAACTACAAAAAGATTGACCCCAATTGGTGAGGTGATTTGATTGGTGAAAGTACATAGTGTATGCACATGAAACCCGACTGCTAATTTGCTGTGTTCTCTTATGTTTCCATGCGCCAGAGGACATTTGTTACTCGCATCTCTACGGGATGAGCACTTATGATATTAGTCCTATTTATAGTTCTGTACTGCCATTTCAAAACTCTAATAAGCCTGATCCTCCTTGTATACCCATGTATGTTATATCATAAGGGAGTTAGCCCTGGACCACAGGATTCCCAGAACCGCTATTTCCAATATAATCGTTGACTTTATTCAATCAGATTTCCACCAAGCGAATGTTGTAGTCTATAGTTTCCTCTGTAAAAATAACGAAGTACCAATGTAACCAGTATGTGACACAACGTGCCAGGTATAAGTGGGGACACACTCTATTGTAATATTGTTAGGAGGGTAAAATCTGATTGCTTATCTTTATTGTATGTTTTTTTGGATAATAAATTAATAATTATTAACTTGTTTTTATTTCATGGGATGAAAATGGCAGTCCACTGGAGTTAAGGTAATCCATTTGGTAGACTGATAGCTATTTAAAGGTACATGACAATGACTTCAATTTTATTTACTTATTGTATTGAAAACCTATAATCAGTTGCTAGTTGTTGTGTTGTATCTCTAGTTAATACTATAGCTATATATAACGTTAATCTAACTCTGTGGAATGAAATGTATTTTTGTTGCAGTAACTTGAAGCTCATCTTCAGTCTGTGTGGTGGAAAGAGTTTTGAATGGTTCTTCCTCATCCCTCTACAGATGGAAATTAACTTTGCTCAGCACATTCTTCCTGTAAGTGATTCATGTTATTGGGTATATCTGTTCTCTCAGTGTGCTAGTCACCACATTAAGAAGGGCTCCCATTTCATGGCTCCGACGCTGTACAAGTTATCACAGTAATTATACGTGTTCATTTACCCCAGTTCTGTTATTACTCCATATCCACTCTCCTACTCGACATTGTGCACGTTTTGTCTCCCTTTACTATGATTAATTATAATGTTTGCAATATAAATGTTAAAAATGCTTACATTGTGAATATTTACAATATCGATGGTTACAATGTTGCAGCATATTCTACAGAGCCGAGAAGCTATTGTAAACAAAGATACTAAAACCCTGGGCGATGCTTTATGCAAGTACTCTCACGGAGTAGAAATGATGACTGCAACCTTAACTAGAATGCATGGCAAGTTGGTTATAACACAGATATGTTTCAGTGTTTTATTATATATGCCACTTGTAGGACTTGAGCCCTAATTTTCAGGTACATTCTGGCTATTAACATAAGCCAATTTATGTAGTAGACGATATACTGTACAGTGTCTCTTGCATTAAAAAAATAACTCACAAGTACATCCTTTATTTTCAGAACACTGTGATCCCCGTGAATTTTACAACTTTAGGGCATTTTTAGCAGGGTAAGAATTGTGATATTTAGCTAACGATGTTTGGAAGATTTTGATTTTTTCAGCTTGTTGTTAAGCTTAGCCTGCATTTGTGCTTCATGAGCGGAATAAATTGCTGCAAGTACCCATGCATACATGTGTTTCAATGATAACTGTGCACATATGGTCCACAAACTCATATACTACATTTTACATTTACGAAATCATGTGTCTGTTTTGAAGGTGGCAGAGTAATGTATTCAAAGGTGGTATAATTTATGAAGGCATCTCCAGCACACCTGTAAAGGTACGTAAACTACTAGTAGAACCTGTTCATAAGAGTTGATGTCACTGATTACACTATGTCAGTGTATAATGACACTAGCTCATATATGAAGATATATGTAGATGCATAGAGATTTGAGCGGAGTTCACACTTCATCGTACATGCCAGGCCTGGCCTGATTTCTAATACGAGATCCACTGCACGTATATATATATATATAATAGTTACACAGTACAGCTGAAGGGGTCGTTGTCGTATCAGGTACTACATATATGTAACCGAGGTATGTATACACAAATTGTACCAGACTTGTACTACACAAGTGTACCCTAACCCTAACCCTAAATATACCTCGTATAAAAATATAAACATAATTAATACTAAACAACCTAAAACTACCTCTGGTACATATATGTAGTACCTGATACGACAATGACCCTTCGTGCCACAGTACACAGCATTTTATCTAATGATGTGGTGAAATTCGAACAATTAATTTGCAAATGGCACCTTCAAAACAAGTACACCCACAGTGTACCTGATTCAAACAAAAGGGAATCTAGTTCGTGTAGTGAACTCGGTGCCAGATTCACAAGAAATGGAGGCGGAAATCAAAACGAATAATCAAAATTCGAATCGTGCATGTTTTGGTGGTATGAACGTTCTAAGACATGTTAGCACTGCTCTAGACAGTTTCTGTTACTCAAGCAATAACAGTAAATGTCGTAAAAGTGGGACAAAACATGAGACCGGTCAGAAATTATTTTGGAAATCTTGGTCTTGACTCCATGAAAACTACTATGTAACACTCCAAATAAAGCATTTATTCCTGCCACTTGATGGCAACACCATTAAATGAGAGTAACCTTCATTATGTATTATATTATTAATTATTCAACATTCAAACATTACGCTGTAATAGAAAATTCACTTAACAAACTTGAAATGCAATGCTAATATTATTTCGATCTGTGTTTCTGTCATGTCTGTGTTTTATGCTTTGAATTTTCATCTGCCTTTTAACAGTTTAACAATCACTTGTGGAATTGTTTTGCCTCACCATGCACTATAGCACCCTGGTGCTAGCGCGGCACAAAGTTCGACACTGCATTGCTGCGATGAAGTGCTGGGTGTGAAACATGGAGAGTCTGCCTGGACCTTCCTCAGTGAAATGAGGCAGTACATGCCACCTGGGCACCGAGAATTCATTGCTAGTCTTGTTAAGGGACCATCTATACGAGACTTTGGTACGTAAAATGTGCAAATTTCTTACATGTTCTATTGGTCAAATAAAACATGTAACCAATTGGCTAAAATTGACTTTGGCTTGATAATACAACTGAACCTTCTTTTGTTAAAAAATTAATAAATAAAATTAAAATTTACTTCAGCTAATAATTAACCTACAGGCCACTACTCTTCCAGTTCAATATGTGATGGTCAAATAACAGAGATTATGAAACATTCAGACCTTAGGCCACATAAAGGCTATGCTGTCACTGCAGGAACCAGATGTCATTACACGTTTAGGCTAATATATTTGTTGTTCATTTGCAGTGATATCACAAAATGATGTGGGTTTGGCAGAAAGTTACAACAAAGCGTTGCTATCACTTGTTCACTTTAGAGATTATCACATCCAAGTTGTAGTCAGGTACGTATAGCAATACAGAATCAGGGTCCATACAGATTAATAAGTCAAGACAAAATTCAAGGAGTTTTCCAGGACATTTCAAAGACAATTTGTATTTTTCAAGTACTAAAATTCTAGCTTAACTTAATAAAATTTAGTGTTTTCAGACTTAGCACAGCTTCAAAAGATACATTACATGGAATAGAGGACATGAAAACTTCTGATTCAGAAAAAAAACATAGATTAACAGAATTAATAAAATGAACACAGACATATTATTTGCTTTATATTTCTTATTTTATAAATTCCAGTAGTTTTGAGTACTTTTCCAGGACAATTCCAGTATAAAACACAATATTTTAAAATTCAAGGAGTTTACAAGGAGTCGTATCAAATTCCAGGACATTTCCATACCCGTGCGGACCCTGAGAATTAAAAATGTCTAGCTAGAGAGGAAGAGACAGGCATAAGAATAGAGAAATGCATGGTGAGGGTGGGGATTATAGCAGAAAGAGGGAAAGTGAGTTAAATATCAAACAAAAACAGGAGAAAAATAGGATGAAAAGGGGTGGTGTGGACAGAGAGAGAGCGAGATACATAGTGGAATAAGAGCTGGGGGCTTATAGTTAATAGATCTGAGACAGTGAGAGATGTGTGCCAAATTACAATACCTATACATAGTATCTGTTTGCAATACAATATAGTCTGTCTGTATTATATTTCACAGTTAATTTAAATAAAATTAAAAATAAATGATTCTATGCTGTAAAATTTCAGATACATTGTGATTCCGTCCCATCAAACAGACTGCAAAAAGAGTCATGAGAGCTTGGCAAATGTAGGAACTGGTGGATCAGGTGCGTGATTCTCCTTGACCCTGAACGTTCATTATCATACACGATCCATTATGTGAATTATAAAGGTATTTTTCCATTTGCAGGAGTACTTCCCTTCCTCAAAAGCGTGCGTGACACAACCAAGGCACACTTGCTCCCTTTACCAGCATAACAGTGCTAAACATTGTGTCCACAGACAAGCCAGAGCCAAGACAACCTATCAAGGTTCTTGGAGGGTAGGTTCTCAGTTGTACAGTGCTTTCATGCACTCGATTTGGGTTAGACGGCACCTACTAGTAATTGACAGGGCATACACAAGCCATTTCAACTATATCTGCACATGCATCTATATATATATATAGACATATATATCATCTATATATGCTTACACAGTTGCGTATTTCGCAACGCTTTGCTGGTGCAGGCAAGAATCAATATTTTTTGCGTGTATGGTCCAGTCTGCTGGGTATATGTACCCACAGCACCTGTAAATGTTTGATCAGGTTCCTTTAACCTAACGTGTTTGAACTTCTTTTTTTACCATTTTCTCACTTACCACCATTTTAAACTTAACAGCAAGTGTCTGTAGCAAAGGTAAGATGTCTTAGAACACTCGTACATTATATCCATCAGGACGTATGATTAAAAATTCGAATCGGTTTTCAATATCCATTGTTTTCTGATTCGCTAGTGCCAGAAGCAGCCATCCAATACATCATTGCAATAGCAACAGTGATATTGACAAATTGGTCATTTTCACTAGCAATTTTGGTTTGCGCAATAGTTTATTCGTAGTAAATGATAATATATCAGGGTTAGAAAATAACTTGCCAGGCAGAAACTACTTACTGCCAGAGAAAGAGACAGACAGCAAATTTACTCACCCAGACAGAATCTTTGGTGCGTTTACTATGGTTTATTAAGAATTTCTCGGCAGGAAGTATTTGCTGCCAACATTGAGAGCAGGCAGAAAACTGACCCTTGTAGGCAGCAAAACTGCTGCTGGCTGCCCTTAATTTCAAACCCTGCTATGCTATACTAAGTCAAGGTGGAAGGTGCAGTGTGGAGTAGGAAACAGATAATGACAGTGGCAAGTTAGAGAAATCTAGGAGGAAGCAGCTGGAGAAATTATTAGACCAATACTTAATTGATACAATTTCATACAACACAAAACAGGTGCACTTGTGTTTGTAGCTATAATTATGTTCAAATTCCATTTTCGTGAAATGAAAAAATGTTGGAATTTTCTGTTTAATCATGCTTTTATAGCTCAATCATAACAGCATAAATCCTCTGTAATTTTCGAGCTTATGCCATTATGATTATAGTTTTATTACGTCATCTAATCGACAAGACAATGTTTTACTACAAGTTTTTAATGTTGGCTGTATTTGAGATATACATATTTGAAAGACAAGTCTATAATTGAATGGGCTTCCATCAATTCTCCTTGATTATTTTTTTATATCATGATTGGAATGTGTTACGATTCATAGGTTCTATGATATGCAAGTGCTATGACAACTAAAATTAATTCACCAGGGATGCTTAGTCAAATACTGTTCAATATGACATCTGCAAACGTCTTGTGTAAATCTAAAAATTTTGCTATAACCAAATATTTAGGAGAATGGAATGCAATAGATCAGTGATATTTTGCAATTATATGCAGCAAATAAAATAATATTTATGTTATTACCATTACTTCAGTCAATTTGTGTCATGCATTCATTTTCTGTAGTTTTAATTTGAACTAAAAATGCTACTTAACACCAGAAACGAATGGCGTCTAGAAATTGTCTGGTGTAAAATTCTTTACTCGATATTCAAAAAACTTTCCTGAAAAATATATGGCCAACTAGAATGTCATTCAAGCATGTACATTTTACAGAATACGTAGGGCAAGTGGCTCAAAAACTTTCTTGTGAAGACTGTTATATATAGTGAAACAATGGAATAAAACATGCATTCTCCTTAGCATATTTAAATAATAACTTCAGACCTATATATGCACAAATTGAAGTCATCATGCTGCCAGACGTGATTTTAGAGCATGTGATCTACTTTGTTGGTCACAAGAAACGAGGGGCGAAATCCGTTTAATTTGTGTACAAGTGTGAAAATATTGTGTGAAAATAATATAAGTTGAAACATTTTTTACCCAACGATTACGTTACTTTACCATTAAAATCCTACCATTTCTGCAGGAAATTCGACACAAGACTAAAGTGGAATGAGGAGGAGGCACAGCTTATATTGCCATTAGATAAGCTGTGTGCATGATATAATTAATACACTACCCCCAACCCAAGGATGTAAAATTACGAGATGTGATGAAATAATTGGAAAATGCATGACATTTCATGGTTATGCCATGGTTGGATATAGATGCTTTGATTCTCGTTGGTAAAGGTTGGTTGGTAATAGGGCGTTTGATTCTACCAATGTTAAGTAGTTATAAACATAGGTTGCCAAGAATACCGATCGAGTACAACAGTACGAGTGTGCTTCGTATGTATACCTATGTAATTAAATGTGCATGATAATTAAATATTATAAGGGTACCGGTACAGTGTAGCTTACAACCCACACTGCCTATAACAACATCGATGCAGTGCTTTGCCAGACCACTTTGGCGACTGCCCCCCTCCCCAGCTATAGCTACAGCCCACTACACTATGAAAATACAGCCGGTACACTGAAAATATCTTTAGTCTAGACTATACACATTCAGAATGAACATACGACGTATCTATATAATATATATATATATGTATTATCATTTAATATACGTATGTATATATGACACGTACAAATTGGATTATATATGATAGATGTGAATGCGCGCAAACACGTTCATGTATGAGTGTATGTCGATGCAGAGTAGCTGCTTCTCTAGATGCAGAACTTAATAGATAGATAATATGAAGTAATTAATGATTAAGAACGATTATGAATAAGTTGTCATTGTTTATAAACATTGATATTCGCATTTTCGGAGTCTATATATATACTCTAATCACTTGTTGTGACATGTACGCATGTCATGTACGAATGTAAAGCAGTAAAGGACCACAATTAAATGTAAATATGTGTGCTAGTCATGCTTTTTGTGTATATATCCTTGGTATGGTAGTTATCCAATTTTATGAATTCAGAATTTTATTGTAAAAGTATGCTATGTATTGTATATGATGGATAATTGCCTAAATAAATAAATATAAATAAAAAAACTTAAAAAATGTGACATTGTAATTTGTATGCAGTCACACATGTAAATGTAATCATGTATACAACACATATTGTGTACACGTGTATGAATCATATGATCAAGAGTAGATAATCAGGCGCGGATTTAGGCAGGTTTGCACCGGTTTCCAGAAACCGGTCACAGACTGGGTATCTTCAGAATTGACCTTCAAAATTCACCAGAATGCACCAAATATAGCATAATTAAAACAAAATTCCCGGTGGGCATGCCCCCGGACCCCCCTAGCTGTGACTATAGAACTATGGAAACTTATCACCCAAACCCTCTGATAATAACACTAACAGTGTTAACTGTTATTATCTACTCGTCTCTTAATTGCTATGATGTAATGATGCCATTGATGTAATCATGTATGATGTATATTTATTGCTGAACAGTGAACTTGGAGGATGTCGCCGTGATGTAGCTCTAGTACTATACTCTATAGCCTGCGTTCATTAACTGCCTCAGAGGTAGCCGTGATGTAGCTCTAGTAACAGTGCCCGCGTACAGTGCGGCAACTGTACGCGGGCTATAGTTACTAGAGGCTAGAGCTATCCGTAATGATGTCGATGACAGATTAGATCCGATCTGAACGATGATCTGACATCTGTAGTCAAATAACATCGTCGTTCTTTCCAACATCCGGCCACATCATCATTCAAACACGCAAGTATGCAGTACAACACACGATTAGTAATCCAATTTATAACTAAAACAATTTACGTGAAGTCCGAGAATCGCACGGCACACATTCCGGAAGTTGGCAACGACGGTTATCGTAGTGCACGTGAAACGAGCGTGATGGAATGTTTACACTTTTCCTACTGTATAGCGAAGAAGACCAACGAGATGGCCGGTTACAACCCGCACGTGACTACCTTCCACAAATCAACGTTACCGTTATAAATAAGCACGTGCACACTTCATGTGTTGTGATGGGTCCGACGTTACTAGTAGCACGTAGATGAACTGCGTCTCCGCTTTCCACAGTTTTCAGTATTTTGTGATAATATACGCTTAATGCACAAAACATGTAGATAATAAGCCAACACTAGCTGTGGTAGCGATCAAGCGATGGTACTGGACGACAAATTTGTACATCTGATTGCTGGAGGGTAAGTTAAAATGTGCTTGTGTATGCTGACGCCCTAGTTGCTAACTCATTTTGCGATGCCATTGAACCATGTTCTGTCACTGTCAGTCAAATGTACGTACATGCATGCAGTTCTTGCGTTTTTCTCACAGGCTCTCGGAACTCTTCAATAATAAAATGATACTAAATAAACACGAAATGTATTTACTACCAAATTCTTAAATGTTTCTCGTCTCTTTTGCCTATTATTAGTAATATTAATAATTTCCTGTGAATGCCATTCACATGCTTGAATAGCCTCTAGTACTATAGCCCGCTTACATTAACCAGCGGCAGTTAATGTAAGCGGGCTATAGTACTATAAGTACTAGAGCTAATGCTTGAATTGCTTCTCTGCAACACACTTTCACTGCACACACTCCACTGTGCACAAACAATAGAAATATAAAGCAGGTGTACTTGCGTTTCCTATCCTGAGGTATCCTGAGGTTTCATACCATCACAGCAAAATTACACAACCAATTGCCTCCATTTTGGTATCTATGGCACCGAATGTTCACTTGTTTGAATTATCCCCATTGCCATTTGGTACAACTTAACTTTCCAAGAGATGTGGTAAAATCCTTAAGTAAACTTTCACTCCACAGCTATGTAAATTGGAGCAAGTGCCTGTTTATAATATCCAATTGTTTGGCCAATGAACGTAGTCGGGTGTGTCGTCATTCTTGCGAAAATCATGCTGACTTTCCTTGGTGGGCTCATAATGAAGCTCGGAAGCAAACTCCACGACAGATGGCTCAATCTACCACTGCCACAAGCAGATTTCCGTTACAATTTGTAACGTTTTTTACTACAAGTTTTACAGCAGCCACGTTACTCGTAGCAATGAGTATCCTTAGCAACATTATTACATAGCAATCCTATGTAATAATTAAGATTTGGACTAATAAAAGTTGCGAAGATTTAAAAAATCCAACCATTATTTTATGGAAAATTTGATAAAATAGTGATACGAAATAATGCGCATATTGTGCGCCCATTTACTACTTTCAAATCATGCGCTGTTTACGAATCTCCATTCGCTGGATTTCCCCGCGCTTCGCCCACTTTAAAAATAGTGCTAGCATTGTGGCAGTGGTATCCTGAGTGTACGAAAGTGCACTGCATGCAGTTTGGCTTGGAAGCAGAGGGCACTTGAACCCAGAATGCAATGCTATTATTCGTGTATGAACGCTCCCATTTTCATTGATGTGGATTGACTCGATTTCTCTTGGTAAGAGTCGTAATTCGAACAAGTGAACATTCGGCTACGCATAAATACTAGAATGTAGGCGCTGTTTGTGTATTATGCTGCGGTAAGATTGTGTGTTGCAAAAGAACATTTGAACAGCATTTACAAGAAATTATCAAATAGGCTCATTAAATAAGTTCATTCGGTTGGTAGAATAATATAAATAACAAAGTTAATTTTTACTCAACCGTGCAAGTTTGAAACGTACCGCTGACGTTTCGCCTCCTGTCAGGAAGCTTTCTCAAAGCAAACTGATGTTAATCAGTGTTGACCACCAGATGGTGTGGTGGTCAATAGCTTAGTCCACACGTGACTGTCAGTGGTCCGGACGCTACTAGATCGTAGGGACAAAATCATAACGGAGAGTGAGGACCGGGAAGCTGAAGTGCGCCACATCAAGAACGCATTAGGAAAATGCGGCTATCCCAATTGGACACTCGAAAAAGTGTTCAAGGAGATGTACACATCACGGGAAAAAACAACATTCCAAAAGAAAACCTCCACGGAGAAACCGAAGGCGATGATCATCCTACCCTATGTCAGAGGGGTCACGGACGTAGTTCAGCGTCACCTAAAAAATGCAGGTGTGGCGTCAACAGTGAGAGACAGTTTGAGACTCTAAAACGGCTTTTGGTACATTCTAAGGACAGAACAGATATGTACAACATTACGGACCGTGTTTACAGGATACCGTGTGCAATGTGTGGAAAAAGTTACATTGGAGAAACCGGTCGAAAATTTAAAACCCGCCTAAAAGAACACAAAAAGGACGTAGACACCGTAGCACCCAAATCGTTCACAAGGGCCCAACGAAAACAGTCGGCTACCGAAATCACCAAATTCACGATCACTGACCATGTAGCGAAGGACAATCACACCATCGATTGGGAGAATTCGAAGATCATCGATCGTGAGCCTATCAAAATCAGGCGATGGATTAAGGAGGCCATCTGGATCTGCAAGACCCCAAACATCAACCGGGACGAGGGGGGTACAGGCTTAGTCACGTGTGGACTAAGCTATTGACCACCACACCATCTGGTGGTCAAAACTGATTAACATCAGTTTGCTTTGAGAAAGCTTCCTGACAGGAGGCGAAACGTCAGCGGTATGTTTCAAACTGGCACGGTTGAGTAAAAATTAACTTTGTTATTTATATAAAATAGGCGAAAGAGAGTAGAAAAACATTAGGAATTTGGTAGTAAATACATTTCATGTTTATTTTCCATCATTTTATTATTGAAAGGTTCTAAGTGCCTGTGGTTGTTCTCGTCATGATCCTGAATTTACATTAAATTTCAATTGTGCATCCTTTATACAGTATGCCCTAATAATAAATTACATAATGATCAGGGATAGAAATTAACTTTTGAACAAGGGAGTCCAACTCTCAAAAAGAGGGAGTCTGTAGCAAAACGAGGGGTGTAAGGCTACAATTTCATAGTTAAATTTCTTAGTAGAAGAAGGTTTAAGATAAAGCTTAATGAGGTTTAATCATTCATATGAGATGCATTCTATGCCTTAGAGTTAGATGCTGTACTGTAGTCTCATGCAGGATGCTTTGCAGGATTTGTTAGGAGAATTCTAGTATTTGCTGCCATATCAGCATTTAATACGAGCAATATAGTCCGCTGGTTCAGTATGAAGATTAATTCATGCTGAACACTGTGAACTTTGAGTATTGGGTGCGAAACGGATAAGTATTTGCACATGTCTCGTGTGCTGGCTGTATATATAGCTGATTTAGGTTAATCTGGGTATGCTATACTATCACACTGCTCCGTGCAAGGTTGTATATATACAGTGTAACTGTAAGATACATGTATGTGTAACTTGCCTGGTTTCAACATACTGCGGCTGCAAAAAGTTCTAATAATATTTTTCTCACACTGTGCAAGACTTGCCTAGCCTGATGGCACGCACTGCGTGGAAAATTTACTCGGTTCTGTGCACGTGATACGCGTGGGCTATGTCGACCATTATTAAGGCAGCGTGGCGACGGTTGCAATCCCACGATTATCTAATGCAAGATAATAAATCTTAATGAACTTGTGTATGTAAATTTCCATTCATAAAATGTTGTGTACACATATTGTATGTACAGTACATGTACAGTCAGATCTGTATATATATATGGGGCTAAATCAAGGAAACCCAAAAGGTGTTCTTTATAGAACGGTATCTAGTCTATAGAGGTGATATTATTATATAGCTGCTAATCAAAGAAAATGTTAGCAATGTCCTTTATAGAAAGTGTTCATTAGCTTATCTGACGAAGTCGGATGCAGCTTGTAGAATCGCATGATTGTCCGTGCGTGCGTGCGTCCGTCCGTCTGTCAACAGTTGGGCACAAATCTCAACTGAGCACTCGATGTACAGTCACGATATTCGGGACGTCGGGGGGGGGGGGATCGTGAATACGGCCTCAGGATGACAAACTTTGGGGGTCAGAGGGTCAAGGTTTCAAGTGTCGTTAAACGGAGGGGAATCTTTCCCTCTTAACCTAAGGCTATACGGTAGGAAATTACGAATTGCGGCACAAATCTGAACGGCTCCTACCTATGGCTCTTATATTATTCGTGTTATACGTCGTGATGCTCAGGAAACCCATCAGCCTGTGCGGAAATTGGAGGTCACAGCCGCGGTGTCTTTACATGAGTGGAGCCATGGGCTTTCCATCGGCCGCGTTCAAGGGCAGTGCGGGACGAGGCAGGGTTTCGACACTAACCCACATGCCGACGACCCTAGTCGGGTATAATGTGCCTTGGCTCCGATTGCGCTATACCAACTCAGAGTGCTAGTAGCCCAACTGGTCGTTGTTAGAATTGGGTCATATATATTGGCACTGAAAGGTCACCTCTTAGCTAGAAGCTGGTTTGGCGGCCGCACATGGTTTGTCCGCAGAGCGTGTACATTTGTCTAGCAGAGCGTTGTAGGCCGGATGACTCAGTCTACCTTTCGATCAAAAACAATAACGTTGTGCTGTGCTGCTCAAGCCGCAGTAGACGATCGTCTAAATCCTGCGGTCGTGTAAGCCTTCTTGTAGAATACGAATGGCTGCACGTGAACTCGGCCGCACGTCGATTTAAAGCGCGGGAAAAGCATCTATTGAATTCATACGAGCACAATCTTATGCTAAATAAAATTTGTTCATAACAATGTCTGGTCTGGCTAGGAAAGTTAGGTCAGGGCTATGGTTCCTCAGTTACAGGCGCGCGCGATGGCTAGTGAAAGTTAGGTCAGGGCTAGGTGGTTTTCCTTCAGTTTACTGCCCTGAATGGTCTAGTGAAATAAATAGGTTAATGTTGCAGCCTTGTGAAAGGTTCAGATATCGACATTTTTCTGAGGCATGTCATCGCCTAACGGCAGAGTGCAAACTTTTTTGTTGTCAGCGCTGACCTAACCATTTTTATCACTTTATCTGAAAGCGACCATGAAATGTGCTTTCACTGACGTGCGGCAAGAGTAAAAGTGTCTGATAACTTTTTGACATATCCAGAGGAGGTTAAACATGGATTTCCTGAACATGCCTCAATGACGTCACAGAGCGTGTTGTACCATAATTATTTCATGCACATCCACAATCATCGAAACCAATAACACTTGGACTAGCCGAACGCCTAAGCACAGGTGGGTCACGGCCTCCAAAGGTCGTTGGATCGAATCCCAATGCGCTGATTTTGTTGTATTATTACCTGTTTATCCGTGTATAACATAAAACCATCTGTATCTGTATCTGTATCCATTTAACTATTTTGTTCCAATTATACGCTAAGTAGTTTACGATCGATTTATTTACGAACAATTTAATTAACAACAAATAATTTTTACCAACAATCAATTTTTAGGTCACTCTGACATAGTCAGATGCAGCTTGTAGAATGCGCTTGATCGTCCGCTCCGTGGCGTCGCGGCCATGTTCGTCCGTCAACAGTTGCCGGCACAAATCGTTAACCGCGACGTCACGGTCACGAGTATTCGGGTCGTTGGGGGGGATCGTCAAAAACGAGTTGGGAATGTCCGAAGCTGGGGGTCAAAGGTCGAAAGGTTCAAGAGGTGTACAAAGAAGGGGGAACATTCACTCCTTAACTTTAAGGTATAGGGAGGAAATCGCAGAATTGCGGCACAAATCTAAATGCTCGACCTAAGCCGTTGATAGTCGGTGTATAGCATCATGGTAGGAAGAGCCATCACTGTGGCCGCAAATTGGAGTCACCGGTCAAAGGTCAATGCACAGGGCAGATTTTAGACATTTGTTCATGAGGACGATGGTCTGAGCGGAGCGGATTGAAAACTTTTTTGTTTGCAGCGGTGACCTAGATTTTTATGGCTTTATTGAAAGGACATGAAAATTCCCTCTGCTGACATGCGAAGAGTAAGTGTCGGATAACCTTTTTGACGCCTGCAAGAGGAGGGGTTAACCCATGATTTTTCACTGTCAACAAAGGACTGAACATGCTTGCTAAGTAGAATCCCCTATGGCCCCACCCTCCCCCTTCCCCTCCCCTCACTCCTCTCGCACCCCTCCCCTAACCCTCCCCCTCCCCCTACCCAAGAGGAGGTTAAACATGGATTTGTTGACGTGTCTGTTAGAAAGAATTGACTGCCGGGTTTGCTAGTATAAAATCTATACATGCCTGGATGTATTTGAGGCCTGAACAATGTCACAGTGAAATTTCAAAGCTAAATTTGGTTAAAGCAGGTTTATGCCCTTAAATACGTATAATTTATAGGCTATTCTGTATGTCAGTATGTTTACATGTAACCAGTATCCACTGCCAGTGCTGCTGCGCAGTGCAATGAGCTGCAATTGTTGAGGGCAGTTTTTGCCACTGCGCCGTAATTGGTTGGCAGGTGGCAGCTCTCTATTGCGGCTGAGGCGCTTGCGTAGGTAAATGGATGACGTCTTTACCTACTTTCTGCTCCTTGCAAATATTTGTTGCTACTACGAATGTATGGGAGCTTCCATCTTTGAATCTGAAGACACTGTAAACCGTACGGCGCCATGCTCGTGCAACTTCATAACGATCCGCAACGAAGCATTCTTTTGAGAAGGTTCCTGATACCATCTCTGTGGCATTCCACTATTTCGGCTGTATGTGAACACATTGGGACTAAAAGGGTTATAGAATCCACTACTGCCGACCAGAGTCACGCGCAGTAGACGTTAGATGAGCGCTGTCTGCTATGCGGCACTTGCTTTTTATTATTTTTCAATAGGGTTAGGGTGTAGGGTCGACAAAGCACCATAAACAGGAGTTTCAGGCACGCGATTCTGTAATCAACCATTGGATGCTGGGAGGTAGCAGAATGCAGAAGGTTGCTGAAATGAAGTGTACGCAACTGCGGTATCTGCATATCTGCGCCTAACAAGGTGTCACTACGCACGACTTAAATTGTTTACGTTTAATAACCGTAGCAACAACGCTCAGATGAATGCCCAGACGCTCTGCGGCCTGTTTGTTAAGGTTTCACTAACATGGGGATAAATGTATAATGTTTGTTTTCCCCCTTATCTACGGTTATAATAAACCACCCTATCTTGCAGTGATAGCACTGTTCATGTTAACTAACTGGTGACATTGTCGTTACAGTGCCGGAGGGACAGCTGGTGCAATAGTAACATGTCCTCTGGAGGTCGTGAAGACGAGGCTTCAGTCGTCCGTCGCATCGTTTAATGTTCGGAGGAGCATTGTGGTTCAGGCGACGCCAGCGTCAGCGACGCCCCCACCATATGCCGGCGTGAACTTCTGTGCCTGCGGAGTGTCCGCATCCGCGAACCCACTTCAAGCCAAGTCAGGACTCGGAATCATTGGATGTCTGAGGTGTGCAGGAATTTTTCAGTGTACATGTGTGTTTTGCATGCGTGTTGGGCAGAATGTGTACAGTGAATCTGAATCGGAAACTGCATGCAGGATTAACATGTGCGGCACAATAATGCAGCATGCAGTAATGTGAATTCCTATATATATAACATGATCATCACTTGGCTCTTTTTCTCTTTGCTATTCCATTTCATTAAAATATGTAAACCTAAAATTACAGCTAACATGCATGTATCTTAGTTGGGGCAGAGTGATAACAGCAGAAAATCTTTCTGTAATACACAAACTTACCAGCTGACTAACATGAAATTTTTAGTTGAAATTTGAAATTGTTCTGAAATAACCCAGCCCTGCATTTCACACGACTGTATCTTTTAATGGCAACTACTGCATTATATAAATACGTTTCACCGTGTTGTCATCTTAGTGTAAGAAGTTATGTCATTGTGTGTGCATTGTATCACATATATGCATTTAATTTTTCACAGGTCTATTATTGAGAATGAAGGACCATGGGCACTTTTTAAGGGTCTAGGACCAAATTTGGTTGGTGTGGCTCCTTCGAGGTGAGTTTGTAATAATTGGTTTGCATACATGTGAATTTAAAATAAAAGTGTATGAAGTGAATTAGGAATTTCAAATAAGTGAACATACTTGGAAATTCAGAATTTTATTTGTATGAAATTGCCACCACCATGTTCAGATGTTCTACGTGTGAGTGTGGTTGTAGTGTTGCGGCATAACAACATGTTCTCTTTATTCGTTTATCTCGTGATGAGCTGACATTTGCTCTGCCTGTAAATTTGGATGCTACCGAATATCTTTAATTATATGATTGCAGTGCTAGTTGCTTCACAATTTTGCAGAGCCATCTACTTTGCGGCGTACTCGAATACGAAATCCTTTCTCAATGGGGTTATTAGACCAGACACACCGATCGTTCACATGGGTTCCGCGTCCATGGCAGGTAAACACTCCATTAGCATTTCATATATCACTATGCAAAATTGTTTATTGTTAAACTGAATAAGCATGTGTTTGTACACATGTAGTGTTAAAAACTTTGATTGTTGAAAAACCGATGCCCCACGGAGAATTGCTGCTTATTGGTCCATGTGCTGCAGACTCGCAAAAGTACATCATTTTTTACCTTTCATTCATCAACACGTGTGTCAGTGAACTACTCATTTCAAGTATACATCATGTAAAAACTGCAGTTATGTGCTTGACAAATGAATCGGTGACACGTATATTTATGCACGTAAACTGTGTTAGCTTTAGGTGCGCTTAGCTTTAATTTTGGATTTCACGCCATAGTTTGCGTTGCAGTTCGGAGTATATGGCTCAATCCATATGCTTCTAATACGTTAGTACAGCTAGTGCAGAATATAGATAGACTGGGCCAAGGTCAGTCTTCCTTGTGTACATGTGGATATATGTGTACGTGTCCGTGCGTGCGTGCGTGCATGCCTTTGAGTGTGGTGTGTTGAAGTTTTGTGGGACGTTATTAATTGATGATGTTTTATCCCAAGTGCAAAATTTTCCTGCTGTTATCACCATATAAGCTTTGTGTGTGAACATCACTGTTTATTTAACAGTTCATTTTTTTGCTTGGAATTCTAAATTCCAATTTCAGGTTTCGTTTCGTGTTCGGTGACGAATCCAATATGGTTTGTGAAAACGCGGTTGCAGCTGGACCAGAGGTGAGTAAGCTGTAGAATACCAACTGTGAAATAAGGGTACTAATTAATTGAATTTAAAGTTATATATGTCACTACAGGGCATGAAATTCAGATTTTTTACACGGCCCAGAGGGCTGGTAACAGCAGTTTTTTACCAGCCCTCACCATAATTGACCAGTCCTCACAAATTTTGTTAAAAGAAAGAAGAAGACTGTTTCACTGACCCTTGCTTGTCCAAAAAATGTAGTGTGCGGCATCACATAGTAGCTGTTGAACAGACTATAAGTATAATGCAGATCGTGAATGGTGTCCGAAGTGTTTTTGACAATGTCGTGTTTCACGCTTGCATTCTCGATTTCAAATTTGTAAAATGTTGATAACAGTAATGTAGGCTATTTGCTCATTAATGCTATAAATAACAAGATCCGCAGAGCGGCAGCGCTCAACTGACGTGTACTTACTGTAGCCGGGTATTCTTCTGATAAACTCACTGGCAACCGAATCAAGTGCGCCCTCCAACCACCGCGTTGATAGGCTTTGCTATACCGGTAGTACAGTAATAAAGATATAGCTGTGTAACTTTAATGATTTCGCTATATTAACGTTATCAGGAGTTAATGAGACAAAGGAGTTTGACACTAATTTGGTACTGATTTCACTAAATTTTTGTCATACGAGTCATGAGCTTTTGTTCACGGGTCCTTAGTAGTATTACAAACCACGTAGCTTCTTTCGTTTTGACATAAATCATACTTTTGCACGACATGGTCTTCACATTATTTACCGTCGTGTGGCGTTGCCAAGCCACAAATTCTCGTGCACAGCAACTCAAAGGAGGCGCGGCAGGGATCGTGTCTCCCGTACGTTATAAATCATTATATATCATTCCTGAAGAAGTTTTTGTTTGGCTAACAAAGCCGGGTGATGCCGATGTTAACTCTCGCCTTTATCACATACTATTGGTGATGATAAGTAAGATGTAAACACATGCGTTTGCTATGCAAAACACATGTGCGAAAAGCTACAATCAGCTGGAGGGTCAATTTACTCGCTAAGATTCATACACATCATTCCTCCGTGGGTGAAGTAGTTCAGATATTTTACGAGCGCAGCATTTATTTAAAAAAAACTGCTGGATTCAACCATAAAAACAAGGCATTCTAACTATAGCTTAAATGTAAAATAGTTTTAATTTTTAAACCCAGCATGGTCACAGCGAAACTTAATTTCTAAGCGCATTTTCTGCACTCGGCTAGACTATACGGCCTAAATTCCCTGCCACGCCTCCTTCGAGTTGCTGTGCATGAGAATTTGCAGCTTGGCTACGCCACATAACGGTAAATAACGTGAAAACCATGTCGTGCAAAAGTATGATTTATGTCAAAACGAAGGAAGCTACGTGGTTTGTAATACTACCGGAAGATAGAATAAGGACCAGTGAACAAAAGAAGCTCACATTTGTATACATTCTAATAGCAAAAGCAGTTTAGTCCTTTGTTAACAGTCAACAAATCCATGTTCAACCCTCCTCTTGAGGGTCAAAAGGTTATCAGACACTTACTCTTCGCACGTCAGCGGAGAGTAGATTTCACGATCCTTTCAATAAAGTGATAAAAATGGTAGTTCAGCGCTGAAACAAAAAAGTTGGGTGCAGTCGGTTCGTTAGACCATGTCCTCAGAAAATGTCTGATATCTGACCTTTTCCCCCATTGCCCTTTGACCTGTGACCTCCAATTTCATGCTGGTGATGGTTTTCCTGCCCATCACACTATACATCGAATATTTAGAGCGTAGGTCGAGCTGTTGAGATTTGTGCCGCAATTCCGTATTTCCTCCTATACCTTAAAGTAACTATTGCGAGAGTTTCCAGTGTTTTCACCACTTTCATGACACCTACCGTTATTGCTTGATTAACAGCAATTGTCTAGAGTCACAATAAAATGTCTTATGCCGCTTTTATACTGCGCACGACTTTAGCCCGCTTCTGAAGCGGGATAACTTTATCTCGGGATAAGTCGTTTTATACTGCTGAAGCGGGATAACTTTAGCTCGGGATAAGTCGTTTTATACTG